AAGAAATATTCAGATACGATCATATCAGAACTTTTGATTATCATTTACTTATCGTTAAATATTGTTAATTGCTTATTATAAAAATTTATAAACATGACATATTTAAAAAGTTCACAATGAGATGAATCTAACAAGATCCATTTTGATAATGTTTTTATTTATAGATTAGTATTAAAATGCGGTCAAAATTTAGTCAAATTATTAAATCAGATCAAATCAGACCAGATCAGAAAAATTAAGATAAAAATATTCAGACCTTAAAAAATTCAGATCAGATCTACTTATTTCAGGTAAAGAGAACAAGTCCTTATATACATAATATACGCTGTATTACTTTTATCATTTTATGTGTGGATATTGTTGGGTTCATCTGAACATTATTTAGATATTCATTTACTTAATATTTTTGACTATAATATATACGAAGTATATATCATTATCGTACACCCTCCGTGTTTTAATAAGTGTTACACTTTGACCAAATATGCATGTCGAGACATGACTTTGATCATTAATTTATCTAATTATATGTTAATAAAATCATATGAAATTTTATAATATGAAGTATACATTATGATGAATCCAACAATGTCTTATGCAATAACAATTGTTTTTAATATATTAGTAAAATAATCAAGTCAAAGCCATTTTGTAAATAGTAAAAAAAGTCAAATTGTAACACTTATTAAAACACGGAGGGAGTACAAATATACAATAATGTATGGAGTAAATAGTGAAATTTCCGTCAACAGAATTTTACAAAAGATATATATATTTACATAAGCAAGATTTGATGATTTCAAGTTCAATTCTACCCTCAAGGCCTCAATTACATGATTTTATAATATCATCTTTAAAAAAAAAAAAATCTTAATTAGAGATAAGCAACGTGCTGTTTTACAACTACTCACTTGGAAACTTTTGCTTAAACAAATGAATATACCTAAAACAACTAAAATTAAAAGTAAGGATAAAGCAAGAAAATGGATATTTTAGTAGATTTTTGTGGACTTTTTGGATCCTAAAATGGATGTATGTCTCATCCAACAAAGACAAAGGCAGCCACCAAGAAGAAACCTTAGCTTTATTAATTTTGTGTGTTTTCTCTTTTCTATTAGAGAAACATAACCCATACTTATAACCAAATCTATCATTTTTGTCAACAAGTGTAGTCTTCTCATTACCAACTTGTCTACAACTAAAGTTTACTTGATAGATTCTATGATTTGATTAAAAGCATTAATTAATGAGATATAATTTGATACATTGCATACAATTACATACAAGTATTTTAATAATACATAGTTTTGGCCTTACATACACTATCAAGGCCATTTGATTATAGAATATCAACAACTTTTGTATCAATATAAGTCCAAAGTATATATTAACGTATTACTTGTAAGGTGTATAGTTATTTAGTTACTTTAAATCTTATAAAAAAATATTCATGTTAGAATATATAATATTTTTTTTGTCGCACATATTTGAAAATGAATCATTATATTATTTTCTTTGGCCAGAACATATTACGTAGTAGCAAGTTTTGTTCAAGTACTTGTACCAACAAAAAATACTTATGCTAACAAAAAGAATGAAATAAAGTAGTAGATTAGATATATAATGCTGATTTTTTTTTCCTTTGATGAATTCCTCCAAATCTGTGAAACTTATTTGTACATCTCAAATGAAAGTAGCAAAGATAAGGGTAGTCCTCTATCTTGGATATTTCTTTGTTCTTTTAATTTCTACTTATTTTATTTTTAAGCAGTGATTTTCAACTTATAGCTTTGACAATTAAAAAAATTAATTATGTATCCCATAAAAATAGTAAATTTTAACATTTTAAAACATATGTACAAAATCATCGAGTGAATGAAGGTAGTAGACGACGTACTCATGAAAGTCATGAGTGTTTACACAGAACACTTGAAACAAGTCTTGAGTGTGGCATTAGACACTCCAAATATGGGTGCATGTTTATTTAGGGTCTGTTCTCTTCCGTTGAAATTCAGTTCAGTTCAGTTCAGCTCAGCTCTTAATTTATGTCTAATGATATTGCTAATGATATAAAGCCAAATTTCATTCTTTTAAGCTCTTATTACAACGACGACGACGACAACAACAACAACAACAACAACAACAACAACAACAACAACCACAACAACAACAACAACAACAACAATAATAATAATAATCATCAATAAATAATAATAATAATAATAATAATAATAATAATAATAGTAATAATAATAATAATAATAATAATAATAATAATAATAATAATAATAATAATAATAATAATAATAATAACAACATTAAAGAGAGTGGGTTAGGGTGTTGGACTGTTGGGCCGTTGCCTCTGTTAGCTTTTCGTGTTTTTTTTCTTTCTTTTTTTTAAAAAAATTTGTTTAAATGGGTTAGATACATGTAAGTGTTTTGTGTTCTTTTGTCATAATACTATTTTATTTTTAAATTAAATAGTATATGTGTTTAAAATGTTTAGAGGTTTCAAGTTTTTAATATATTTTTCATAAATTTTATAATTATATAGTATATTTTTTGAAAATATTTTAACATGTACATTTGTATATACACATATGTATAGTAATAAATAATCAATAAATAATCAAAGATTTCTAATCCGTAGTTAAAAATCACTAATTAATAAGTTCAGTTCAGTTCATTTCATTTCATTTCATTTCAGTTTAGTGCAGCTCAGCTGAGTTCAGTTCAGTTCAGTTCAGCTGAGTTCAGTCAATCAGAACAGGCCCTAAGTGTGGCAAATGTGTGTACCTTGACCATTTGCATCTCACTTGACTTGTTAGCTTATTATAGAAATTAATTTATGACCTTCATTACTGTTTTTTTTTCTTTTAATTTTAATTTTTAATTTTTTATTTTGAAGACGACCTTCATTACTTGATCGCTTGCTTAATTTTTTTTTTTAATTTTTAATTTTTAAATTTTTATTTTTATATTATATTTCCATTATTGTAGGTAATCAAGCAAAAGATCGAGCAATAATTTAACTTGCATTGCAAAATATTATATTCTTTTTTTTTTTTCCTTTGAAAACCCTATATATATATATACAATTATACATGCACAAATTACAAATACTAATTATAATTCCAATCATCCATGTAGTTGAAGGTACCATAGTCAACGAAGGAAGTTTCTATTTGTCATTAGCACCCCATATCCTACCGCATCACATAGGACCGTTATTTAATTACGACAGTGACACATCATGAAAAATCAATCATTTATTTACAAAATAAATGTCCTAGCTTAGTACTCTTATGCTTTGCTACTCTCTACATTACTCTGATCTTATAGAGCTAATTTTTTCTTCAATATTTGGTGGTCGACTTTTTTTTTTTTTTTTTTACAATGAATTATTTTAAATCCAATATTTAAAATCTAATAAAGATTAGTTGTATGCAAATTAATTAAAGATGGATGATCAAGTCCAGTCTGATGATCTGCATCCTGCTACAATGTTTAAGTATAAATAAATAAAATCATGTTAATTAATTTTTGCTTAACTAATACAAAGTACATATTATGCTTGTATACACAAAATAAATCATCTAATTTGTCCAGTCTCAAGTGGACTTTTATGCACATCTCTAATAATTCTTGAACGAGACACATTGAATTATTTATGTATGCGATAATGTTGGCTATCTTAATCAATTTAAGTTTTAAGCGATACTTTTATGATCATCACTTTCTCTACATATATTATCAACCAGTTTAAACTATAGGGGATACTTTTGTGACTTTCTCTACATTCTCTTACACACGAAATCTCAAAAACTATTTTCAAAAGAAATCACATTCTTATTAACTATTCCGTAACAAAAGGATCATCCTAGAGATCGATCTACTTTCTTTTGAAAAATAAAAAATCAGTTTAACGATCATGTGATGGTCTAGTATAAAATTTTCCATGAATATGCATGCACTTTTACATACTATGTTCCATGCATATGCATGTTCAAGTATCATGATAACAACTTTACTTAGTACGTGCATGGCAATGGAAAACCAGAAAAAAAATTTGTACTACTTGAGTTCAAAGTAAGATACAGTCCAACTTACGTGCTTATTGAGTTATAGATATAGGAGTAGCTTTAACTTATTGGGTTATAGATTTATAAAGTTTCTTATTTTTCTTTCAACACAGAACAGATAGTACTCAAAGTCTCAAACTTACACTATTTAGTAGTTCCCCCTCAAATGTGTGTATATATACTTCTCCTTGAATTGAATGAAAAATGAATAAATTAAACGACAAACTCGGTCTATATTGAAGCAAAGCACTAAGGAGACACCAACATTGGGCCTTAGCAATATAAGTCCTAACACAAACAATGCCTATCGAATGACATGTTAGCTTAGGGCATTTTCTGATTTACTGAACTGAGCTAAATTGAACTAAATTGAATTGAACTGGACTGAACTGATTGGAGGTTAACTGAACTGAATATTTTATGAGAGAAGGAAATTCGGATCTAAACTGAACTGAACTGAAAGTAAACTGAAGAGAACATGCCCTAATTGAACCTAGCACGAATACCAATTTGTAAGAATAAATGGAGAAGAGACAAGATATAAAGAGAAGCTCAATCAGTCCACTAAAAGTTGCCCAAAGCAAGGTTCCATCCTAAAAGAGATAATCTATATGAACAATAATAAACTTAATTGGGTTAAATAATATAAACTAAAATCATTTGCTTCATCTATCTAACACTTTGAGACACATAATATTCACACTTGCACTTAACTACTTGAATTAGGGGAAAGATAAGAGAACAACTACATACATATACACCTAAAATAAACAAATTGCAATATAAATACTAAATATAATTATAATGCATTGCATCTTAATTTAACAATTATATTACAACATATATTATGTTGATTAGTCGTATTTAAAATATCAACAAACCGAACTAATAATGATTTGAATCCAATATAGTAAACTATATACAAATAATAACAAAGTTGACTTCTAAATATGTTTGAATCATTTATCAAGTCGAAGAATGGAAGAAATAAACAAAAAACATAATCAATCATCAATTTTTTTTTTTGGAGCTAAATCAAAAGTCATATTCAAAGCAACTTACCATGGCAAGCTAACTGTCTTCACAAGCATCCTCTTGAATGTTGATGATGACAACATGAATGACGAAAATACTGTCTATCAAAATAATATAATGCTAATATGCATACCACATTAAGCAAAAAAAATAAAACATTGAAAATAGATAAATAATTAAATAAATTAGGATATCTTAGATAGCTTCTACCTACCTACATTTATTACTTGTAAATAAATTGTACACAAGTAACACAACCCTACACGTTGATATAAAAGTGGTAATTGCAATATCAACGTTGACATGAACAATTGTACAATAATACACAGTACCAAATCACAATTAAATGCTGTCTAAAAATAAATTCAAACATAAAAAGAGTAATAATTTATTTATTTTTATATAAATTAAATTTCCTCTTTTTATGTCTTGATTAAACTGTACCAATAATGTTTATTATTATTTTTTTTATTGATTTTCGGCACCAAATGAATGTAATCTAATTCAATACAATCAAAATCAAATCCATATCGATCTAACTAAACATGGAAATTTTTAAAGTAAATCATCAAATACAAATGTATAATTTTTTTTTCCTTGTAACATATTCAATTATCTAAAACGCGTTGCAAAAAATCGAGAGAATTAGGGGAAAAGATGGTACTAGGAGAAGTAAAATTTGTCGAAAAGGGGCTAGGTAAGTAACTTCCTTCGATAAAACTCTTATTCCCATGTTGTACAACACTCAAGTCATGATGATGTTGTTGTAGGTTTAGGTTATTTGGATCATGAAAAAAGGGTGAAAACAAGTTTGGTGAAATCGGTGGTAACGAACTCGGTCCGGGGGATAATATCCCCGGAAAAAACACGGTTCTTTCTACCCCTTCCATGTCGCCGCCACCACCACCACCTCCGTCGCCACCTACACCAAAAGTTATCCCTTGTTCTCTAATAACATCACTTTGACCAACCATTCTCTTTGCTTCTGGGTGCATTTTCGTCCTTTCGATGCTAGCAAACCTAGCTGCCGGCGACACACCCCCCGTTATTACATGATGATGACTTGTAGTAGTAGAAGAAAATCCAGTAACAATATTACTACTACTACTTGAAGTAGTAGTAGTAAAATTACTAGAAGGATATTGTGTAGAAGATGATGATGATGAGGTGGCATCGGGGCCCGTTAACCGTTGAACAAGTGTCATAAATTCACTAGGGTGTGTATGGATTACCTTAGGAGACACGGTGTATATGATCACAGGCTGACGTGGCGGCGGTGGTGGTTGAGATGGTACTTGTTGGTGTTGATGAGGCGGATTAGCCGGTGGCGCCACCGGTGGTTTTTTGATCTTGTGTGACTCTTTCCTAACCTTCAAGGGTGTCGGCCTTGGGCCTTGTAGCTCTTTACGAGGCGGTCGGCTACCGCCCTGGGAGTCCGGATTGTCCATGGCGGATATGGCTAGAAGAGAGGCCAAGGTTGGTACACAAAGATATTGTGGCTAGGAAAAATGATGATGAGATAGTGGTAACGGGCATTTAATATTTTTTTTCAAAAGGTGGATAAGAAATATACAAATATATATACATAAAATTAAAAATATTTTGAAAGGAGGGAAGATGGGTGGAAATGTATAGACTTAAAAAAAATAAAATAATAAGTCAATGGGACATAGGGAAGTATAGTATAACAAATTAACATGAAGTGGTTGAGAGAATTTGTCTTGTTTTGTTAGTTTCTTGAACAAGTGAGCATATGCAAGTTGGGTGTCATTAGGTTAGTAATAGGAGAAAATTCATTAATTGTGTTGGCTACTTGTTTATTAGGGATGCTATTAATTATGTAATGATCAGTAAGAAAAGGCAGGTTTCGTGGTGTTATTAATCTTTGAACTTTTCTAACCTTTTATGGTTGTAACCTAGAAGCTTCTTATTGTCATCGGCTTTAATATAGGAAGTGGTGGTAATTGGATTATCTATGCGTGGCGTCATTTTGGGTTGGATGGTTTTAACTTTTAAATTCGTGTAGTTTTATGTTTACATTTGATTTGATTTAGCCATTTTGGTTTATTTATACATATATGGAGTTTTAAATTATAACACTACATAAAAAAATGAGTATATTTAATATTTATCCACCATATAAATGATTTTACCAAAAAAAAAAAAATAATGTATATAAAATGAGTATGTAGATGTTATATATCGATCTAACCATAATATATTAAGAAAATGATACATATTTTATGTTGTGCGCTCATAGTTCCTCTGTTTATATGTTGCTAACACTTCAATTTTCATGTTTAATTTGTCCACCATTTGTATATTTAATTATAGATAAAATTAATATATATAATATTAAAACTTAGTATTTGAAAGATATATATTATGGCGAATTTAATAAGATTTCTCATAATTACATTTCACTAAAAATAAACATTGTGTATTATGTTAATAGTACGTGTAAATTTCAAGTGTTTGTTTTACCTTAAATTAAAGTAATGGATGAATTATTAATTTATCAATTGGTGGTGGGAGCATTTTATGTATGATTTGGAGAATTTGATTGAGTAGAGAGGAGAACTATAGTATAATAATAGATTAGTCTAGTGCGATGCACGATTTGAACAAATAAAATTTTCTAAAATAAAATAATACACCTAATTTTTTTAAAAACAAATAAATTAGAACTTTGGCAAAAATTGAATGACAAATGTTTGGGGTACCTTAAATTATTAATGTTGGGGAGAATAAACTGTTTTTCAAAAATTTATACTAATAATAATATAGCTAACCAAAATTTTAATAAATTAAAATAAAATCATTTAATGGTGACATCATTTATAGTTTTGGAGAGAATTTTTTTTAATCCCAACGTGACAAGATGATGTTAGCAGTTGTTATTTTAGTATTAGTTATAGATTAAAATTCAAGCATATAGCATTATCATGTAAGGTTGTATATTATGTTCACTTTATTTTTACATACTTATTTCAAAATAATCAAATTTGAATAAAGGTTAATAAGTTTAAATAAATAATACTCCGTATTGGTTAGTGTTGCTTGATAAGGCAAATAAGGGGTATCTAAGTTCTAATTATGTTCATTTTAATTTATCTATTTATTATTGTCACAAAAATTCTAGAGTCTAGACAAAAGTAGTTAAAGCACCCAAAGCAGTCTATTAGTTCATAAAAACTTGTTTGTGTGAGAAAAAAGACCAAATGAAGACTCCTTTTTTCTTAAATGGGAACATGCAATTTAATTAAATTTATTTGTAGAAGAACAAGTCATAATAAAGAAAGAGCATGATTAGAGGCAGTTAAAAGAGATAACAATTGCTGACTGAATTGCCAATTTCAGACTGGTAGTAGTTATTTAGTTAACCTTCAACCTGAAAAATTAGATATACGTACCACTTTAGAAGTCTTGGAACCTTCTATTCTTCTACATAGAATTTTATGGTACTACGTTTATCTCAAACTTATTTCTTTATTTTATTTTATTTTTCTTTTGAGGGATTTTTTATTTTTTTTTGGATATTATTATTACTAAAGAATGGGTACGAATGAGCCTACTAAACATAAGTATACATGACGTACGTTGCTATATCTTCGTATTGTACAAGTCATACACAGTTATGTACTTATGTCTTATTAGTACTTCGTAACAAACTAATTATATACTCATAATTAAATAAATATACAAACTAGGATTTCTCTGGCCTCTGCTCTTCTCTTCTCTCATCCTCTTTTCTAGGATTTCTCTAAAATCTTGGCCATTAGTTTTGGTCAGTTTAGTTGTTTAGCAATTTAGGTTTCAATAAATCTACACTAGTGTAGATATTCGCCTGTCTTCCTATGGTGGAGTGGTTAGTTTCTGTTACTTTTAGTTGGTTGTTTGCGTTTAGGATTTGTTTGTGTGTTAGGGCTTATCAAAAAGGTAATCATCTTTTACCCTATTGTCACTTCGTTGGTAAAGATTTGTTCCGGATCGTAACGGTTGTCAAGTTTTCGAATGCGTTCAAGCGAATTAGATGAAAATTATCCTTACGGCTATAACAAATCATTAGACCGTCTCTCCGAAAAGGCTGTATATTCCAGCAATATGTGCAAGCGATGTACCACAGTGCAAGATCTTTTCAGCAATGATAGCTTTGATGAAGGAAACCCTAGTTTGATTCAATTTTATGTATTTGTAAATTTAGATTTCGTTTATTTGTAGATGTCGGATGTTTTTTTATTAATGAATTGATTTGTTTCAAAAAAAATACATAACAAACTTTTAGTTTTTCTTAGACCGTTCTCTCTTAATGTAATTTGAAGAAACAAAATTATGAAATCTCTCTATTTACATAATTACATGACTTTTACTTATCAATAATTTATTTTATCGCTTATATTATAAAATCATCAAAATTTATATTTATCAGACTTTATTTGAACATGGGCGATCCTTAAACTTAGATCTCTAATATAAGTGAAAAAAAAAGTGGACAACATTTGACCTAAGACATTGTACTATAGCATTTTGAAAAAAGATTAATTTTATAAACACAAAATTGAAGCATACGGTTTTCATTTAATGTAAAACAGTGTGGTTGCGAAAGCAATAATAAATGTGTCATTGAATTAATAAGATAAATTGACGTTTAATTAACGTGAGTGTGCGATATGTTAAGCGAACCAAGTCAAGTTGAGGCGTTGAGAAAAAGCCAAGTCTTGATCGACCACCACAAATCTTGACTCTTGAAAGAAGTTGAACCTAGTCAAATTATACCCACTACTTAATACTTGGCTTTTCTTTATCATGTTTTATATTTTATCTACTATTTGCATTGTCTTTTCTTCTTATTCCTTTTTTTTGGTTGAATTTGGAGACTAGGAGAGTGGATTACGGTGTATAATGATCAAATAATCTAAATAGAAAATTAATTTCTCTTCTAACACCCTATTCAACAATAATATCTTAGTAATATTGTCAATAATTTTGGAACTTATTATTAATCAATACATTTAGAACAAGGCTTAACATGACTAGCTATACATTCATCTTTATGTAAAATCTCTATATGTGACTAATGATCGACGTATGATAGTTTCATAGGCGTAGGCCGGATAAATCATCAATACTATACACTAAAGTAATCACCAAATTTATCCTTAAAGCACACGTGTTGCGTCCACATTAAAAAAAATTCCCATCAAAAACTTTTCTTTTAAAAAAATTAAATAAGATAATTATGAAAAAAAAAAGATTATACGTACGGCCTAAATAATTAAACAATAACAGGTTTAAATAATTAAAATGTTCAATGTATTAAAAAAAAACTATAAACAAATACAAACTTATAGAAATACTACCTCTGATTTTTTTTAGTTACAACTTTGGGGTATTATTTGAAAGATATAAAATATTCCAAAGTTGCAACTAAAAAAAATTTGAGATAGTATATGAATACTATTTTTTTTTTAGTGAATATCCAAGGGCAAAGAGCTAGTGTTATAGTATGACAAGAACACAAGAAGGATTAAATATATTTATTGACCTATTTGGCAAAATTAAAGAAGGTAAAAGAGTAATTATTTTTTGGTTTTAAAATTTAAAGTAAAGGGGGAACCACTCACTTAGAATATCATAATTAACTAAAATAAGATTTTTATTTTCTTTATTATTATTATTACTATTATTATTATTTTTAAGAATATGAATAATTTTATGGATCATGGGATTTGTTATTAAAAGAAATAGCTATTCATTTAAGCTTGTTTAATTATGGTCGATCACTTTTGTCCAAAATTTGGTTCAGGACAAGTCATGTTATTTATGGTTTTAAATATCACCAATTGTGTCATAGTCACATGACTAGTAGAAACTAAAAGTCTAAAATATGCATGGCTTCATATTTTATTTTCTCTTACATTACGCACCCACCACATTTTAGTGTTTTACAGATTACAACTCCATTTAATAAGCATATAGTCTGAGAATCAGATATAAAAATCTGTACTCCAATATTAATTAAAAGTAGAATACAAAATTTTCACAAAATTTAATTTGAGATGCAAATCTTTAAAAATGAGATCTAAAGCCAAAATTTATGACCATTCCCGTAGCATAAAAATTTAGTAACTGTAATTATAAGTGATATCAAATTAAGTTAAACTAGAGTGTACCCGTGTAAAATGTACGGGATATACATTATATTATATTAGAATGGAAAATTTGCGAGGAAAATCCTTTTAAGTGGTCAACTTTGTTAGGCAGACCCTTTTATATATATATATATATATATATATATATATATATATATATATATATATATATATATATATATATATATATATATATGTATATATATGTATATATATTATATATATGTATATATATATATACATAAAGGTGGCACAAAAGGTCCTTTTATGCAATTTGGATTGTGTGGAGGGTCCGTTGACCGAACTCCGGCGTTGACTTAAATTTTCCGGCCAAATTACTTATGTTACCCTTTTTTTTTTTCCTTTTCCCTCTATTTTCTTCGATTTCCCCCTTTCCCCAATTGAAACCCTAACTTTAGCCCAGACAACTCAGAAATCTTGTATTCTTATCCTTAAATCACAATTGAAGGGAAATCAAAGCCTATAAGCACCAGGCGAATCAGGCAAGGTGAGAATCCTTTGTCAATTTCAGGTTTTGTTTTGCAATTTTGTAATTTTGTAATTTATCATTGTTTTTTGTAGATTATAGTTGCGCATAATGATGAAGAGGTGTAATTACGGTCTTTCAAT